AAAAAAAGGAAAGAAGAAATATCCAGGCTGGCTTGAAGGTAGGAGGGGGGCTCCCCACAGTGTGCCTCCCTCTTTCTTGCTTCTCCCAGACCCTAAGCTATGGTAACTTGGACAAATATATGCAGAAGACCAGGAATTCCTTCTCCAGGGTGCCTTATCTGGCTGTGGCAATGGACAAAACTCTGGTGCCATCCTCAGAACAGGAGCAGTCTGAGGGACTCCTGTCACCCCTGGCCTCACCTCTGTGCCCCCTGGAGGGACAAGGATTTATCTGTGGCCCTTGCTTTCCCTCCCTCCCTGAACACCTTGGCTCTGTCCCCAAGCAGCTGGAGTTCCAGAGACATGGCTCAGATCCTGATTCACAAGGAGTTAGGCTGTTGGACCTCAGGATAAAAGCCACATTCAATGAGGGCATTGAAAGAAGGTGAAGTGGGAATAGATAGAATTCTGAAGACCATTCTCTTAGAAACTGCAAACTAATGACCCATGTGACCCAGGATGGCCTGAGTGGAGAGGCTCAGGACTTGGTCCAGCCTCCTTGGAGTTCCATGTAGTCAGAAAGCCAGGCAAAGGGTCAAGCAAAGAGGTAGCTTACAAGATGCAGGGGTCAGTAAAGGAAGAAATTTCTGATCTTCTTGGAAGTCTTGGCTGCGGCTGCATGTGATCACCTTCTTAGAACTGTCCACTGCATCAAAGCCCAAATGAAGGCCAGGGTTTGGCCAGACCTTTTGCCAAAAGCCTCTAACATGGCCAGAAATAGAGGTGTCCTCTGTGGTGGACCTGGAGGACAGAGCTCCAGCTCTCAGCCCTTCTACCCCTGAAAATTCCATGACAACATCTGGGTCCCTTGAGGGCAGTGTGGTGTCCAGCTAATAAAGTCTTGAGCATATATTGGGCTAGACATGTAACTTTTCTGAGTATCATCAGGTCCATGCCTGTACTGGGGCCTTCTCCAAGCCCTCTCACAAGGAGCTGGGTAAAAGCTCTTCCTCTGCTATATTCAGCCTATTGGGAGACCTGAAGGTGGCTTCACTGGCCCCAGGAGCCCCCAAAGTCTTGGGCCATTAAGCCAGACTGAGATGAAGGGAAATAGAGATCCTGATTTGGTATCCATAGAGAATCATGACAATAGTCAGTGTTTACTCAGCACTCAACTTATGTTAGGCACTGTCCCGACTGCTCTGCAGATGTTAGTTCATCTAATCCTCAAAACAACTTCAGGGTGCTGGCATTGTTTTCCCCATTAAAAACACCCAAGACCTTTTAAAACATCATTCCTTTTTCTTTTCAAATAATTTCAATCAAATTCCTCACCTGTTTTACTCTTCTTACAATTTTTAAAATATTTATTATTTTTAAGTGTATGAGTGTATTACCTGCATGTGTGTAAGTGCACCCATGTTGTGCAATGCCCAGGGAGGTCAGAAGAAGGTGTTGGATACCCTGGAACTGGAATTATGGACAGTTGTTAGCCACCATGTGGGTGCTGGGAATCGAACCCTGGTCCTCTGCAAGAGCAGTCAGTGCTCTTAACAGCCATCTCTCCAGCTCACAATTTCTTTTTTATACCACCAAGTCTACTAAGTGATTGCACTAGCATAAATTTGTAACACAAGTGTTTATATAAATTAAAACCTTAAAACTTTTTGTAATCCTAGGAAGACTTTAAGGGTTATACATCTTCATACAGTTTTTCAAAGCAGCATATAGGGGTTAAGAAGATGACTCAGTTGGTAAAGTGCTTGCTTTACAAGCACAAGGACCTGAGCTCCATCCCCAGAACCCATGTAAAAATGCCCGGAGTTGTGGTATGCACTAGTAATCCCAGCACTGGGGAGGCTGAGACAGGAGGATCCCTGGGGCTTGCTGGCCAGCCATTTTAGCTTAATTGGTGAGCTCCAGGCCCATGAGAGACCCTGTCTTAAAGGAGGTGAATGTCATTCCTAAAGAACGGCATCTAAGGCTGCCCTTTTGCCTATATGCACACACATACAGTGTACATGTGCATACACATACCTCCACACACCCACACAGAAATGAGAAATATAGCTGAGCAAAATAGTTCATGTCTATAAACTCAGCACTTAAGAGGCTGAGGCAGGAGAACTGCCATGGGTACCAGGCCAGCCAGGATCCAGGACTATATAAGACCTTGCCTCAAAAAACAAAGAAATGGGCTGGAGAGATGGCTCAGCAGTTAAAAGCACTGACTGCTCTTGCAGAGGACCTGGGTTCAGCCACATGGTGGCTAACAACCATCTGTTAACTCCAGTTCCAGGGGATCCAACGCCTTCTTCTGGCCTCCATGGGCACTGCATGATATGGGTGCACCTACATTCAGGCAAAACACTCATATGCATAAATAAATATTTAAATAAACAAAAAACACCAAAAAAAGTCTTCTGAGTAAGATGATGGACTAGAAGTTTTTTCTGTGTGAGCAGGTAGAGAAGAGTCAGAATAAAAAAGAAAAGAAGGGAAGGAGGGAGGGAGCGGGGGACCAGACACAGGCTGGAGAGGTGGCTCAGTGGTTAGGAAGAGCACACATTGCTCTTGTAGATAACCAAGTTCAGTTACTGGCCGCCACATTAGGCAGCTCACAACCACCTATAACTCCAGCTCCAGGGAATCCAATGGCTTCTTCTGTCCTCATCTGCACTCTTGTGCGTATTCATACATGCATATACATGCACAGACATACACATATACATGTGATTAAAAGAAAAGAAAAAAACAGAGTCTATTCCAAAGAGAAGAATTGCTTCAGAAATTCACAAAGGTAATGACAGGACAGCTGAAGTGTGTGGAGAAAAGGAAGTGCAAAGAATAAGCCAAGCCAGATACAGCTCCAGTCATGCAGCTGCCTGGCAGGGGGAGGGGAAGCAGACGCCTCTTCCAAAAGATAAGCCAGGTGGTACCTACCCTCAGGACAAACCCACAAAACTAATTGCAGAACAGGTCAGTGGTGGAGAGGAATACTGTTCTGTCACACCATGTGACTTGGAGAGCAGTGTCTGGGCACCATTTTGAGAGGGAACTTACTGTTTAAAATTGAGCTCCTATGAGGGTCTGAGAGCAGGGAACAACCACAAGTCAGGTAACCAAAATTATTTATTTTACTATGTATATTTATAGATGGGGGGTATGATCTGGGAAGTCTTAGGAAGGTAGGAGAATCTGCCTAGCCCACTGACTGCAAAGTTAAGTGTGCACTGTAGAGGTCCCTGGACTCATGGAAAGGAAGCTACTAAGGCTCAGACCACTCTGGTAGACATCAGACATCCAAATCAGGCTCAACAGCATAAATCATAGACAAGAGTCTGAAAGCTCAACTGGTGTCCACCCTCATGCATATAACTGCCAGTCTCCAATTTTTAGGTTATTTATCTATCTATTCGTATAGGGTGTACCATGTGTGTGTAGGTGCCCACAGAGGCCAGAAGAGAATGTCAGAACTCCTGGAACTGGAGTTACAGGTGGTTGTGAGCCACCATGTAGGTGCTGGGAACTGAACCTGGGTTCACTGCAAGAGTGGTAAGCACTCTGAACCACCGAGCCACACCTCCAGTCCCCTTGTCTTGTTTTTTAAAGTCAGAGCGTCATGTAGCCCAGGCTGACCTCAAACTCATATGTAACTGAGGTTGGCTTTGAACTTCTCATCTTCCTGTCTCTACCTCCCAAGTGCTGGGATTACAGATGGAGCCATAATGCCTTGCTTTGCTTATAATTTTTCATTTTTATTTTTATTCTTCTTACATTTATCTAATTTTCTTTTCAAATTTTCTCATTAGTGGGAAATCCTTCCTCCTCTCTTGTAGTTTTGAAAAAGGGTCTTACTTTATAGCCAGGCTGAAGTTGAACTTTCCATATAGCCCAGGCTGGCCTCAAATTCAGGGCACTCTTCCTTTCTCTGCTTCCTGATCACTGGGATTACAGGTGTGAGCCACCACACCTGGATTTATGATTTTCTCTAATCTCTTTTCCTTTCCCCTTAATAATCTTTACTCCTCTTTTCCTTCTTTTCCTGCCTCCTTCCTTTATTTCATTCATTTACTGTTTCCACATTTACCCAAAGTAATTTTTTTTGTCTTTTTTGAGACAAGGTCTCCCTGTAGCTCCAGCTGGCCTAGCACTATGTAGACCAGACTGGCCTTGAACTCACAGAGATCCACCTGCCTCTGCCTCCCGAGTGCTGGGATTAAGGGCATGCGCCACCACACCGGGCTTGCCCAAAGTATTTTTCAACTTAATAACTTCATAACTTCTACATTAGTTTTGCCATTTTCTGTTCTGTGGTCATTGGTGATGTTAGTGGCTTTAATTGATTTTAAATGTATTCTTATGTCTTTACAGTTTGATGTTCTTGCTGTTACAATAGTTTTCTCCTCTCTGATTGGTACTGGAAATTTAACTATCAAGAATAAGCTACTCAGCGCCAGGCATGGTGGCCTATACCTTTAATCCCAGCACTCAGAAGGCAAAGGCAGACGGATCTAATTTTGAATCTACTCAAAGGAATTATAAAAGAAAAATTCCAAAACCTAGAGGGAGAAATGGACATCTAAATGAAAGAGGCATTTAGAACTCCCCAACAGATATGAGCAGAGAAGAACACTCCACAGCAGGTTATAGTTAAGATATCAAAAATACTAAGCAAAGAAGCAATATTAAAAGCTATAATGTAAAAATAATAAATAAAATATTAAAAGAAACAAAAAGGGGCTGGAGAGATGGCTCAGCAGTTAAGAGCACTGACTGCTCTTGCAGAGGACACAGGTTCGATTCCCAGCACCCACATGGTGGCTACGAACCGTCCTTAACTCCAGTTCCAGGGAAATCCAAAGCCCTCTTCTGACCTCCGCGGCATTGCGCAAGACAGGTGTACTCATATACATGCAGGCAATACACTCATACACATAAAATAAAAATAATAAAATAGTTAAAAGCTATAAAGGGAAAGTATCAACTCACATATTAGAACAATATCAGATCTCTCATCTGCAACCCTAAAAGCCAGGAGCCAGGAATGATGGTACATACCTATAATTCCAGCACTTGCGAGGCTAAGGCAGGAGGATCACCAGATTGGCTTTGGGCTGCTCAATGAGTTTCAGGTCAATCTGAGCTATATATTGAAATCCTGTCTCAAACAACAAATAAGCAAAAACACAGAACTAAAAGCCAGATAAACATGGGATGCTATATTTCAAGTCCTGAAAGTAAATAACCAAAATTACTATGTCCATCAAAGCTATGTTTTTTGGTTGATGGAGGACTGGCAAGATGACTCAGTGAGTAAAGATGTTTGTCAGAGCTGATGACTTGAGTTTGATCCCCACATGGTAGAAGAAAACTGACTCCTGCAAGTTGTCCTCTGACTTCCACATGTATGCTGTGGCTTGCATGTGTACACTCATACACACAATAAATGTAATAAAAATTAAAATTGAAGGAAAAATAAGGACACTTCAAGACAAGTATAAACTAAGGTAGTTCGTGATCACTAGATCAACACTGTAGAAGATACCTGAATGCTATACATATACAGGAAGAAAGTCTCACTCATAAGCACACAGGAAAAAATAAATGTAATGACAGTAGTAAATGAACAAAGCAGATCTAGGAAAGGATGCATCCTGCCTAACACAGTAAACAATCCTCTAATAAAGGAGAAAGAAAAAAAGAAATAATCCAACCATCCAGAAAAACAGCCATCAAAATTATAGGAATTAGTAACTATCTCTCAATAATAACCTTAAATGTAAAGAACCTGCACTGACCAACAGAGACACAGATTAGCTGACTGGTTTTAAAAAACAAACCCAGCCGGGCGTGGTGACACACGCCTTTAATGCCAGCACTCAGCAGGCAGAGGCAGGTGGATCTCTGTGAGTTCAAGGCCAGCCTGGTCTACATAGTGAGTTCCAGGACAGCTGGGGCTACAGGGAGACCCTGTCTCAAAAAGACCAAAAATAAATAAATAAATAAATAAATAAATATAAATAACAAATCCAACTATTTGTTGTCTCCAAGACATACACTTCACTAGCAAAGTTTCCTACAGACTGGTAGTCAAAGGATGGAAGTCAATCTGTCAAGCAAATGGAAGCCAAAAATAAGCTTGAGGCATCTGGTCACATTGTATCTGCAGTCAGGAACAGAGAGGGATGAATGCTCAAGTCCAACTGTTTCTCTTTTTTATTCAGTCCAGGACTCTAACCCATGGAATGGAACCATCCATAGTTAAGGTTGGTCTATCTCAGTTAACCTAAGCTAAATAATCCTTCCTAGGTATGGGCAAAGGCTTGTCTCCTAGGTGATTCTAGAGCTGGTCAAGTTAACAATACTAACCATCACAGGATGTTACAACAGATTGCAAAGAAATTCAGAGGCTCGTTAGGGAATACTTTCAAAATTTATATCCCACCCCCACACACAAAAGACTGGAAAATCTAGGGAAAAAAATCGATATATTCCTGTACATATATAACCTACTAAAATTAAATCAAAAGAATATAAATAACATAATCAAATCTATAACAAGCAGCAAGACTGAAGCAGCAATAAACAAAGGAAAGTCTAGAACTGTATGGATTCACTACCAAATTCTACCAAACCTAACACCAGTGCTCCTCAAATAGTTCTATAAAATAGAAAGGGAAGGACACTACCAAACATTATACAAAGCCAGTATTACCCTGATAGAAAAACTGGATAATGACATGACCAATAGAAAACTATAGACAGACAGGATTATGGAGGCACACATCTTTAATCCCAGAATCAGGAGGTAGAGTCAGGGGGATCTCTGTAAGATGGAGACCAGCCTGGTCTACATAGCAAGTTCCAGACCAGATGGGGCTACAGGAGACCCTGTCTCAAAACAAAACAAAAGGTTCCCAACACCTACATGGTGGCTAACAACTGTCTATAACTCCATTTCCAGGGGATCCTTCACCCTTTTCTGACCTCTGTAGGCATTGCATGACATGGGTGCACTTATATGCAAGCAATACGCTCATAACTTAAAAATAATAAAATTAAAAAAGAAGAAAAAATGATAGACAAATTTTCCTGATGAATATAGATGGAAATCTTCTCAATGACTTTTTTGGGAGGGGCTGGGAGAGATGGTTTAATGGTGAAGAGGATGTATTGCTTTTCCAGAGGACCGGAGTTCAGTTCCCAGAACCCACATCAGGCAGCTCACAACTCCTGAAACTCTGCCTCCAGGAGATCTGATGCCCTCTTCTGGCCTCTTCAGGTATCCGCACTCATAGTGCAAATATACAGACATACATATACATGCAAATTAAAAATCAAGTAACAAAAAATGTTGTTGTCCTTTTACTGCTTTTGTAACCAGGGCTGGCCTGAACTAATGGCAATCCTTCTGCCTCAGCTTTCTAAGTTGCTAGGATTACCACCATGCCCAGGTTTTCATTTTTTATTTGATTGTTTGGTGGTGGGTTTTGTTGTTTGTTTTTTGTTTGGGGGAATAGGGTCTCACTATGCAGTCCTAGTTGGCCTAGAACTTGCTATGTAGACCAGGCTGTTCTTGAGCTCACAGAGATTTGCCTGCCTCTGCCTCCCAAGTACTAGGATTACAGGCATATGCCACCATGCCAGGCTATTCTGACTGGTTTTTTGAGACAGGCTTTCATGTAGCTGGCCTCCAACTGGGTCTATAGCCCAGAATGACTTGACTTTCTGATCTTCCTGCCTCCACCTCCCAAGTGCTGGTATTAACTGGCCTGCACCCAGCTCTTTTCATTAAAAAAAAAAAAAACATGCTTAGGAAATTTGTTCACACATTATTCAGGACTGAATGTATACCGTTATCCCTCAACACTTTCAGCATTTCGAGTTTTCTGTCAAAAGTTCCATTTGTCATTAAAAATTATACTTGATACTATCTAACAATTCAATACAAACCTTTCAATTTTGCTGAAAGCATTTATTAAGACGTACCTAGATCCAGACATTTCTCCATTTCAAACTCATGGCACAAAAACATTTAAAGTCAAATTAGAATTTGCTTCATTTCCCCTAGGGCTAGGAAAAGAACAGGTTGGGAAATGACTAATAACCAGGCTCCTAGCATAGATGCTTACTGAGATCAATTTCTAGAATTCCCAAGTTTCTGAGTTTTTCTGGTCTACAGGACAGTATAGGAAAGCTCGAGTCAAATTCAAGCACTTAGTAGGCCTGCACCTAGTAGGCCTGTCCTGAGGCCCCTGAGATAACAGTTAAAAGGTGGCCTGGGGGGAAGGGAGGGCTGAAGAGATGGCTTGGTGGTTAACAGCACTGGCTGCTCTTGCAGAGGACTCTGTTCAGTTCTCAGCACCCACATGACAGCTAACAACTGTCCATAGCTACCATTCCAGGGAATCCAGCACCTTCTGGTCTCTGCAGGCATTGCACATACGTGGTGCACTTACATACATGCAGACAAAAGCACTCGTACACATACTATAATGGCTCAGCGGTTAAAAGCACCGACTGCTCTTGCAGAGGACCCGGGTTCAATTCCCAGCACCCACATGAAGGCTACGAACCGTCCTTAACTCCAGTTCCAGCAGAATCCGAAGCCCTCTTCTGACCTCCGCAGCACTGCATGATACGGGTGCACTCACATACTTACAGGCAATACACTCATACACATAGAAATAATAAAATATCTTTAAGAAAATAAATCAAAAAAAAACTTTTTAAGTGGCCTCGGGTGGGAGGTGGTTAGGATGATGAAATAAATGCAGTAGGTCCTCCATCAAGGCAGACTTTAATTTTCTTACTCGACAGAAGTGAGAGGAGGTTCGGAACAGCAGCACCAAGAAACAGCAGGTTACGCAAGCAGTTTTAGTAACCTTGGCCAGTAAGCTCCAGTCTTAGTACACTTGGCCTAGAACTTGGAGGCCCACGGTGGGTCACACTGGCCTGCAAGCCCCCGACACTCCCATTTACCCGCACTGCGCCGTTATCTGAATGACTGACACCTCGGCCAGCCAATGATCTTTGGGACAGCGGAAGCGCCTGCCTCCAGGAGGTGGGCGTGGCGAGTCAGTGGAATGACAAGCAGTCTCACCAATAGTGAGGAGGTCTCGCAGTTGCTATGGCCGTCCTGGCCAATGAGAAGAAGAAACAGTTCCGAAAGGACTGAGGAAGCAGCCAACGCTCGTCGCCGCTGCGGGGGTCGCGTGGCTTCCGTTCGGAGAGGGCGGGCCAGCATCCCAAACCGAAGGTGGTTGTCTCTGCCCAAGCTGGTTGGAAAGTGGGGGTCGGGCCGGTAGCGGTTGTTTGTAGCCGAGGCCCCGCTAGTGGGCTAGGCCGTTCCTGCCCGCCCCAGCTCCGCCTCCCGTCGGACCCTTCGGTCTCCCTGCCGGACTCCCTCGCTGCCTTAGCTGCTCCGCGGCCCAGCCGCCACCATGTCCCTGCACGGCAAACGGAAGGAGATCTACAAATATGAAGCGCCCTGGACCGTCTACGCCATGAACTGGAGCGTGCGGCCAGACAAGCGCTTTCGCCTGGCGCTGGGCAGCTTCGTGGAGGAGTACAACAACAAGGTGGGCCGGGCAGGGGTTCCGAGCCTCGCTGGCGGGAAGCGGGCCCCGGGAGGATCCCGCAACTCTTCCTGCAAACTTGCCTTGGCCGGGAGCGCCTCCTCCATGGCCTGGTGTGGAGAGTGTCACATTCATTGCTTTATTTAATCTTGACAGCGGGGGAAACTGAGGCACGGTGTTGTGACGTGCGGGAGGCCGACAAGGTATTTCGTGGTAGTAACAGGTTTCACACCTGAGTTTACACCCCAAAGCCACGTCGTCTGTCCCTACCCCCCCCCACCACCACTTCTGCCGCAATGCTTCAGTTGCGGGGCGGGGGGCGGGAGAGGGAAGAGCTGCGAAGGAAAATGCAGGCGCTTGGATTGGTGGTCGTTCACTCCTGGCCACGCGAGATTTTCTGTTAGGGATATTTGTTGCTAGGGCTGCCATTGCTAGCTGATGCCCCCCCCCCAACAATCTCTTAGAAACCTTGGTCAGTACCATGATCCCGCCATTGTTTCTGAATAGAGAAAGATGACATTTGAAAGGATATTCTTTCTTGGCTCCTTTCATGTTGATTTGCAATCTTATTATGTCTTGCTGAACATCCACCTCTTTGAGAATTCTACATTGAAGCACTGGTAGAAGGGAGAAGCTTTTGTTTGTTTCAGAAATAAATGTATTACTAATTGTTGAATGCCTAACAGGTTAATATTTCCCAGTAGTTCATTACACACTTGAATTTCAAATGATCTTTAACATAAAAGAAATAAATTTAAAAGAAATGAATTTCACTTTATGGAGTAACACCCAGCACAGATGTAAAAGCCCCATTGATGCTCTGTAAGACTGGAGGCATGCCTGAGACAGGTTGATGGGGGCCTTTGCTACACACAGCCTCATGTAGTTGTGGTTGCATGTTATTCATTGAAGGGAGAGTAGCTTTGAGCTGATAGTGTGGGAGATAATTTTGAAAGTGTTGGGCAGAATGTTCTCTCTCTCTTCCTCTTTTTGTTGTCTTAGAGTAAATGATGTAAATGTTAGCAGTTATTGAAAGCCTTGGTTGTGCACATCAGACTTAGGACACAGACAAGATTGGTGGGGTGGGGGTGGCTGGTCTAGGTTTGGGTCCTCTTTGGTCTATTGATTAGCTGTTAACCAAATTTTATTATTTCTGACCCACAGCACTATAGGGAAGAGGTTCTGTTCTAAATGTGAAGGTCCAGGGGCAAACATTTGAACATTTAAGTTTGTTTATAGTTTTCAGGAATGCATATGTTTCTCTGGGTAAAGGTCCTAATATCTTTGGAGTCCCCTTTGAAAAATGGATGAAAGGGATTGACTTTCATTGTTCAGACATTACACATACACCAACAGTTTACAAATAAATACCAGGGAGTATACTGATCATCCTTTCCTGAACTTGAACTTTATTTCCTTTCACTGATGACTTTTTCTCCCTCAGTGGACAGTAGGACTAGGAATGGGATTCAAGGTCCTGATGTGGGTAGTATTAGTAAGATTAAGACCACTAGAGGCTGGAGAGATGGCTCAGTGGTTAAGAGCACTGGCTGCTCTTGCAGAGGACCTTAGAACCAACTGAACCATCTCTGCAGCCTTTGATTTGGTTCTCAGCACCCATATGATAGCTAACTGCTGTCTGTAACTCCAGTTCCAGGGAATCAAATGCCCTCTTCTGGCTTTGCACACACATGGTATATTTATAAATATGCAAGTAAACACTCATACACATAAAATAATTAATTAAAAAGATGAAGACCACTAGAACTGACTAAGTGTGGAGTACATGCCTTTAGTCCCAGCAACTGGGAGACAGAAGCAAACTGATCTGTGAGTTAGAGGCCAGTCTGATAATATATTGAGAGTTCAGGTCCAGCCAGGGCTACATAGTGAGACCCTGTCTCAAAAAAAAAGGGGGGGGGGGCGCTGCAGAGATGGTTCAGAGGTTAAGAGCACTAGCTGCCCTTGCAGAGGACCCAGGTTCAATTCAGTTAACATCTATCCATAACTTCAGTTCTGGGGATCCATTGCCCTTTTCGGACCTCCATGGGCACTGCATAACACAGGTGCATTTACATTCAAACAAAACACTCATACACATAAAATAAAAGAAATTTTTTTTAAAAAAAAGAAGAAAGAGACCTCTAGAACTGGAGCTTGAGAGATGGTTTAGCAGTTAAGAGCACTGACTGCTCTTCCAGAGGGCCCAAGTTTGAGTCCCAGCACTCAGGTTAATCACCACCAGTTCCAGGGGATCTGACACACTTGTTATACACATAAGTAAAAAATAAATGGGCTGGAGAGATGGCTCAGGGGTTAAGAGCATGTACTGCTCTGCTATAGGACCCAAGTTTGGTTCTCAGCACCCATATCAGGTGATTCACAATTACTTGTAACTCCAGCTTCAGATTCATGTGTGCGTGCATGTATACACACACATAATTTTAAAAATAAAAAATCTTAAAAAATAAGAATATGCCGGGTGTGGTGGCGCATGCCTTTAATCCCAGCATTTGGGAGGCAGAGGCAGGCAGATCTCTGTGAGTTTGAGGCCAGCCTGATCTACATAGCGAGTTCCAGGCCAGCCGGGGCTACAGGGAGACCCTGTCTCAAAGAGACCAAAAAAGGGGGTGAAGAGATGGCTCAGGGGTTAAGAACATTGGCTGTTCTTGCAGAAGACCCAAGTTTGAATCCTAGCACCCACGTGGCAGCTAACAACTGTCCATAACTCCAGTTCCAGGGGATCCAACAGCCTCTTCTGTTTTCAGTGGGCATTGCAAGACATGGGTGCACTTACCTACATGCAGGCGATACATGCATACACATAAAATGAAAATAATTTTTAAAAGACTTAATAAATAAAAATATATCTTAAAGCGCTAGTATTATTATTTAAGGATATATGTAAGAAAGTGAAATATATCTTTCAAAGGGCTATAGTTTTTTCATACAATATTTTTCCTTTTAATTTCTTTCAGAATCATTGGTTCAATAGTAGTAGTCCTTTTTTTTTCTAAGAGAGGAGACATTGAGCCACAGATAGGCTGCTTGCAGAATCAATGGAGTAATTGATATAAAAACCTCATTTGCAGGAGGTCTGTCCCAAAGTTTGTCCTTTGGTTTACATTTTCAACTGTAGAGAGCTGCTCTTTTGTGCCAGGCACACAGATAGTGTGGTCTTAATAATGAAATACAAGCAGCAATGCCAGTATTAGCAGAATAAGCAATTAACTATATCTTAAACTTACATGATAAAGGCAGTGAAGACTTTTTGTGCTTCTACTCATCTGTAAATCAGGCTTCATAGGTAAGAGCCTCTGTGTATGAATGCCTGTGTACACCTGCCCACTTCATAATGGACACCTCATAATTAGCACACGGGTGCGTGTGCACTTGTGTGTGTGTGTGTGTGTTTGGTCTTTTTGAGACAGGGTCTCTCTCTAGTCCCAGCTGTCCTGGAACTCACGATGTAGACCAGGCTGGCCTTGAACTCAGCGAGATCCTCCTGCCTCTGCCTCCCAAGTGCTGGGATTAAAGGCATGAGCCACCACACCAGACTTGTGTGTGCTTTGAAACAGGATCTTGCCAGGTTGCCCAGGATGACCTCAAATTTAAGATCTTTCTGCCTCTACCCACCAAGCACTTAGGGTTACAAACATTTGCCACTATATCCTGATATAATTATGGGTTTATGTGTGTGTGTGTGTGTTGTATGTGTATTCATGTGTGCACACGTGTGTGTGTGTGTGTGTGACAGTGTGTGTGTTTGTGGGGAAGTGGGGGACAGAGGTTGACATCAGTTGTCTCCCTCTGTCATGTTCCACTGTATTTTTGAAGGCTAGGTCCTTCAGTGAATTTGGGACTTACTGTATCTGCTAGACTGACTGGCCAGCAAGCCCCATAGATCTACCTGTCTATGGGCTCCCAGAGCTGGGGTTATAGACATGCTGCCATGCTCAGCTTTAATATGGGGGCTGGGACTGGCTCAAGTCCTGATGCTTGTACAGCAAGTGCTTTATCTACTGAGCCATCTCCCCAGTCCCATAATTATCTTTAAATGCATAAAATTACATAAAATTCCAAAGGAAACCAATGATATTGAATACAAATTATCAAAAAATTAAGATTTATTTTTATTTTATGTGTATGAGTATTTTGCCTGCATATGTATAAGTGTGTGCCTGGTGCCTATGAAGGCCAGAAGAGAACCTTGGATCTGAAGCTGGACCCGTAGGCAATTGTAAGCCACCTGATGTGGGTACTAGAAACTAAACTCAGGTCTTGCAAAAGTAGGATGTGCTCATGGCCAATGAATCATCCCTCCAGTCCCATGGTCATCTTTTAAAAATGTGGACAGCATTGACTAAAATATGATTGTAATTTAAGTTTTCTTGTATTAATATAATTATGTTTTCTAACTTTTTTTCTAGTTTGCCCATAATATGTTAGGGATTTAATGTGTTAGGGATAAATGAATTCAGGGATTTGTGAATTCTAGGTAAGCACTTTGAACCACACATCCCAGCACTGAAAATCTTAATCCTGTCACCATTTGTATGGCCTAGGGTAAATTATCCTCAATTTCTTCCTGCACAAAGTGAGGGTAATAATAAGTTAAACTGATTTTGTTAGGAAAATTCTTGTTTTATTGTGGTACTGGGGATTGAACCTAGGCTAATTTTGATTTTATTAACAGTTATGGGAAAGTAATTGATGACTCTGGAATTGTTAGGTTGATTTTGATAGCATGAGTTTATTTAAATGGCTCCACACTTACCACATGTGCACTATTGTGTTCTATAGTAGCACTGTGTGCTAAAGAATACATTTTCTTTCCTCAAGGAGCTTACAGTAACAAACAAGGTAGATATGGTACTTTTCTTTTAAAAAAATAAAATAAGGGGCTAGAGAGATGGCTCAGTGATTAAGACCACTGACTGTTCTTGCAGAAGACCTGGATTTGAATCCCAGCACCCACATGGCAGCTAACCAAACTGTAACTC